TTTAAACAATGAGATTAAGTCAAAGTCACATAACTGACAATTTGCACAGACGAATTATCAGAGCGAATTTTCATATACTGTATTATCCTACTATTCTTACACAATTTATTAACATACTTTTTTTAGGTTCATTTAGGTTCTTTTGATAACGATAGCAGAAACTAGCCATCGAAACGTCAAGGTAATTTTTCAAATTAATTTCTTTACTAATTGGAATTTTCTCTTACAGCTTGAGCCGAAGTGTGTCGCAGCATACCCTCCTCTAGGTGATAGTTCTTGATTACTTTTTGACAAATAATTCGTTCTTATTGCGAAATAGGAGCACTATTTATCAATCTGTAATAAAAGACGTGAGGAAATTCTGTCCTTTTTAAAGACAAAAATTTTTGAGGCGAAATACCCAACAAGAAGTTTGTAAAAAACACATAAAATGCCGCGTTGATTTTGCTACCTACGTACATCGGTTTCCCTCCTGAGATCCACACAACGGAGTCGATAATATAGGCAGGCACCCAATGCAGGAAACACCGCTTGATGGTGCTCATGGTTCGGGAGGCGGTGACCGACCCGTCCGGGTACCAACTGATTTCGGACAGCGGATGCATCCTCAGATATTTGAAGCAAAGGTCTATAAAGTGGCTCCATGTGATGGGCTTCCTCTGGCCTGGAACAAGCGCGCAGCGCGTGACTCACACTCCGCCCCACAGGAAGTCGCGCAGCAAAAATACCTGTGACGCAATTGTAGATGGGGATCTCTTTCGTTTTACTGCTGGCTATCCGCCAGGCGGAGACAATCATCAGGTTGATTACGGTGTCCACTGGGACCAAGTCGGCCTTTTTCGTGCTGTCGCACAGCATGGTTCGGAACAGGCCCTTGCCAGCCGCCGCTATTATCCCTGCAAAACGACCAAAACAGTCAACTCTGGGTGGCAATTGAGGAGAAGCACCGCACGCAACGCACCAGTGGGTCCATTCCAGTTGTCCACCCAGCCCTTCAAAGGGCCGCCCATACTACTAATGACTATGCTGGGGCGGACGATGACAAGGGGCAGGTCGCCCTTGTTGTCCTGCAGCCAGCATTCCGCCAGCGCCTTGGTAAAGGTGTAGGTGTTGGGCCGGTTTCCTACCAGTTTGGGAGTCAGCGAGTCGACCAGCTCCTCGTCCAGAGCCTCCACCAGCGAGACGATCTGGTCCGGGCCAATAGGCGGCGGGTAGATCACCTCCTTCACTTGGGACCGGTCGCAGTTGCAGTAGGCGGTCGAAACGTGCACCTGCCAATCGCCCGATCAGTTCAACAGTGCACTCTGCCTCTGCCAGGGCCTCCAAAAACTCACCAGGGCCTCCAAGTTGGACATTCGCTTGCATAGCTCGACCAAGCGCTGCGTCCCCAACATGTTGATGGTGACCGACAGTTTGAGCTTTTCGTCGAACTTGACGGTGGCCGCGCTATGGAACACCACATTCACGCAGAGAGAGAGAGTGGTGCGATCGCTAGGACTGATGGCCAGCTCGGGTTGAGTGATGTCGCCTTCGATCGGCACCACTTTGGATAGGTCACTCGGTCGCTCTTTGCGCAAAGTGTCAAACAGCTGAAAATTCGATTTATTTCGTCAGAATGTGTGTGACATTTGTCGCAGTCTATCAAGGCAAAGCCGCAAAAGTGGACAGTACGATTCGTCTCGAGGTGTCAAAATTGACAAATCGCCTTCGCTTTCGACAAGTTGGAGACCAACTTGACTAGTCGCGTTTCGTGACGTCTCGATGTCGCAAATTTGGCAAGTCGCGCTTCGTTTCGTCCCGATGTGTCAAACTTGACAAATCGCATTTCGAGCCGTCTCGGTGTGTCACACTTGACAAGTTGCGTGTGCTGCAGTGACGATGTTTCAAGCTTGACGAAACGCGTTTGGTGTCGACACGATGTCTCAAACTTGAAAAGTCGCGTTTTGTGCGGCTGCGTGATGTCTCGAACTTGTCGGGACGCGTTTCGTTTCGTCTCGATGTGTCAAACTTGACAAATCGCGTTTCGGGCCGTCTCGATGTGTCACACTTGACAAGTTGCGTGTGCTGCAGTTACGATGTTTCAAGCTTGAAAAAACGCGTTTTGTGTCGACACGATGTCTCAAACTTGAAAAGTCGCGTTTTGTGCGGCTGCGTGATGTCTCGAACTTGTCGGGACGCGTTTCGTTTCGTCCCGATGTGTCAAACTTGACAAATTGCGTTTCGGGCCGTCTCGATGTGTCACACTTGACAAGTTGCGTTTGCTGCAGTTACGATGTTTCAAGCTTGAAAAAAACGCGTTTTGTGTCGACACGATGTCTCAAACTTGAAAAGTCGCGTTTTGTGCGGCTGCGTGATGTCTCGAACTTGTCGGGACGCGTTTCGTTTCGTCCCGATGTGTCAAACTTGACAAATTGCGTTTCGGGCCGTCTCGATGTGTCACACTTGACAAGTTGCGTTTGCTGCAGTTACGATGTTTCAAGCTTGAAAAAA